TTCCTTCTTTATTCTGACTGAAAGCAGACAAAGGGATAAACTGGGGGAAGGTGGGAGGAAGGTAGTTTTGCATGCGTTTGAAAGGGTCAACCAAAGCCTGAGCATTGTTTCTACTGTGAATGGCTCAGGGCTATGTTTTATTTGGCTGTTTTCTGAAGGACCAGGCATTGTTACTATTGTGAATGGCCTGGTTGCTATGTTTATCAAGTTGTTTTCTAGAGGACCAGACATTGTTTCTACTGTGAATGGCCTGTTTACTCTGGTTAACTCTGGGGGTTTGCCTGATTTGAAGGGGTTTAGTAAATTCTTGTTCATTCTGAGGGAGGATTTTTTGTCTAAGGCTAAGCATTGTTTCTATGGTGAATAGTTTAGCCTGAAAACCACGCACATAAATTAAACTGAGTATAAAGGATTATACTTTATATATATTTGCATGTGAACTGACAGCTAGGCATTGTTTCTACTGTGAATGGTCCAGCGTTAAGCCATATCATTAAGAAGAGAAAAGGAAAAATACAAAGTATAAATGAAAATAGTCTGGGCAAGCTGAACATTGTTTCTACTGTGAATGGTTCAGTCCCCTTTTGTCCTTTCTTTTAAAAACAAAGTCAGAGAAATACTAAAATTTTAGATATTAAACAGCTCAGGACGACTAGGCATTGTTTCCATGGCAAATGGCCTAGTCATCTGCCCAAAAGAAGAGAGAAGTAGTTGTGCAACCTGTTCGTGTATATCATAAAGACAAGCTGGACATTGTTTCCATGACGAATGGTTCAGCTCTATATCTTATGTAAGATGGGTATAAGAATTCAAGGACTTGAAGATTCATGAACTATCTATATGAAATGAAGTTGGGATGGTGAGAGTACTTACATTCGTGGTTTGGTTTGCATGTGACTGAATGAGATGGTTAGTTTGTTTGGGTTTTAGTATTATAGGTAGTTGCTTTAGTTGCTCGCCACATGCTAGAGTCATAGGAGTCAGTGTCAATTCCTGCATTTTCTGTAATAGTTTTTTTTATTTAGATCAATTCTCGTATTTTCTGGGATCATTTTTTTTGTACTTGGCTTTGTATAAATCTTGGCAAGCTACTTTCTCTACGGGAAGCGCTGCCGAAATTTCTACAGATCCAAGGAGTTAGTCAAACTTTTGACTTGTCAGAGTTCAACTTTTCTTTTCTATATATCTGGCTTAGTAGGAATCTGAAAAGTCCCATTTTGTAAAGGGAGTGCTGCCCAAATTTTTACTAATTCTAGGAATTAGACAAAATTGGACTTTGAGAAGTTAAAGTTATTTTCAAGTTCTGAACTTAGCCTTGTATAAATTTTGGAATAACACTTTTCTAGAGGGAGTGCTGTCGAAAGTTTTACAAAAATTAAGGAGTTAGTTAAATTTTGTCTAAAGTTGAGCTCGAGTTGTTGTTCAAGTTCATACCTAACTTAGTATAAATCTGGAAAGCCTCTCTTTTTAAAAGGAGTGCTGCCCAAATTTATACTGATTCAGGGAGTTAGACATAATATGACTTTGCAGAGTTAGAGATTATTTCTGCCTTTATATCTGACTTAGTATAAATTTGGAAAGTCTCCCTTTCTAAAGGGAGTGCTGCCCAAATTTATGCTATTTCATGAAGTTAGACATAGTTTGACTTTCTAGAGTTAGATATTAGTTTTGCTTTCATATATGGACTTATATAAATTATGGAGAGACACTTTTCCTACGGGAAGCGCTGCCGAAATTTTCCTAGTTTAGAGGAGATAGATTATATTTTGACAGGTGGTGATTCATGCGATCCACCCAGAATAGGGGAGATTCTGCAGTTGGTTCACCTTTGGCTTAAGCACTGGCTTAAAGGTAGACTTAGGTTTAGCTTATAGGGAGATTTTGAGTGAGGATGTATTATGGAGTTGTATTTTCCATACATTTATGATCTTAGCTTGGGAATTGGTCTGTCGTGTGTTACATGTATTTTTGGTCATTTGATCCAAGTTCAGGACTAGATCCAGCTTGATCCTTTGAGGGTCATCATCTGTTATCACTGACAACAGGTCGGTTGCCGATTCGTCGGTTTACGATTCAACTCCAATTCACTCCTGCCACTCAACCTAAAGGCTTTAGCTTTTTGATTGAACTGTTTTGTTGTGTTTTTACCCGGACTTTATTGAATGGCCATCCAACGAAAGTACTGAGTATTTATTTGAGAGTTGCACGAGTTGAGACTTGTATGGCTAAAGTGAGGGGTATGAGTGCAAGGAATGGTTGAAGTTGACCCCATGTAGTGCGTGGACTTCTGGATGAATCTTTCACGCGATTGCAGGTATGGTTGTGGTCCGGCTTCTGGATGTGACTGCCTGCGATTACATACATATATGGCTAAGAGGAGCCTCGCTGTAACTGTGAGAAGTGATCGTCCTATATAACTAACCCTTATATATTTATAAGTGACCTGAGCACTCGAGAGGCCTACTGCAATTGTGCGTAAGGGCTAACCGGATTATGGTTTGAGAGAAAAGTAAGACTATTTGTTATCCTTTGCTTTTTAGAGTTTTCATGGTTGGACGTTATAATCCGTGGCAGCCGTCAAAGTCAAACCCCTTGACTTTTGCCCAGGCCTGGAGTAGGACTTACCCCCAGGGCCGCAAGAAACGACTGCCACCACATGTGTGGACCTGTGTACCACCCGCTCTGCATAAGGTTCAGAAGAGGGTGTGTGGTCTATAACCGCGCATGGTGGTTGTCCAGCGTCGAGAGATTAACCCTCAAGGCGCGTGTCAACCGACACTTGAGTGTCGAATGCGACCCTCATATTAGCGAGGACCGCACGATTATGGGCACTACATAGTACGCCATCATTGCGACTGCTTGCGCACGTTTGTATCGCGAGTCGATATGAGTTAGCCCTGCGTCCGCGCGATTTTATACCGACTTTCGCGCGCAACGCCTATTCGATTTCCGCATTGGAAAGTTATGGGTCAGCTACCGAGGGGCTAGGAGCGTTGTCGCGTTGTTTGTGTTGTGTCGTTTCGTGCATGTGTGTGTGTTGTTGTCTTTTGGTTGTTAGAGTACGTCGAATCGCGCTTGGGACTTCAGCACCCCAAGATGACGATTCACGTGCGGGTCCGATAGAGGCGTATTACCGCGCATACCCCCTATGCTACAGCGAATGAGAAACGCCCTCGGCTGGTCCACCTCTGCAATTGCAGCTGATTAACTTCCGTACTGTGGACTGGTAGCTCGACGGGGATATGCCCACCGAAGGGAGGTGACAGCTCCCGTAAGGTGTAGGTAAGTCGTGCCTCGCGTAGGCCCTATCCTGTCGTAGGGGCTCGTGAGAGGTATGGCTGGCGCACTCGGCCGGAGCGGCTTAAGGAAGCTCCACATGTACTATCTGCGACGAAGGATTTAGACCAACTCCTGCGTGACGCGGCCGGGAGGGTCCCGCGCTGCCCTGGTGCGGTGCCGGACCGATGCGTTCGACACCGGGGTCTGGTCCAACACCCCCCACTTCTTTTTGGGGTCCACTTCCACCTGAGGACCGGTCCTTCCTTTTTCCAAAAGTCTCGGTTCTAGCAGAGCTAGCTGTAGGTAGTCCACAGTTTTGCCAAGGACCGTTCCCCCCAATTTTTTTGCCCCCTAAGAACCCACTTTGCGTCCTGGTCGCCCGCCGCCAAAAATGTGACACCTTGACACAGACGTGGAAACCCACTATACCGCAGCCTAAGGGCTGCGAACTCTTAGAAGAATACGTGAAAAAACCTGAAATTTGGAGTACTCGTAGATTTTGTTGTTATCTTTCCAGGAAAAACGCTAAATAAATAATAAAACAAAATTCCAACTGCGAAATAGATCGTGGCCGCAATTTGACCCATATTTCAATTTTGTCATTCAGCCTCTCTCTCTATCTCTCTCTCTCTCTCTCTAGTAGGCCTCCTGCCTCCCTCTCTCTCTATCTCTCTTTCTTTCTTACTCTCTCTCTGTCTCTCTCTGTCACTCGTATCAACAAATG